GAAGGTCAGCAGAAAGGAAGGGGAAGCCACTCAGTGTCCTTTCTTTAAAGGACACTGAGTGCTTGTGCTAGTGGCATTCTGAGCTGCTATGAAGAATTCCATGACTCGGGTCCAGGTCCGTGCCTCGGGTCCAGGTCCGTGCCTCGGGTCCAGGTCCGTGACTCGGGTCCAGGTCCGTGACTCGGGTCCAGGTCCGTGACTTGGGTCCAGGTATGTGACTCGGGTCCAGGTCCGTGACTCGGGTCCAGGTCCGTGACTCGGGTCCAGGTACGTGACTCGGATCCAGGTACGTGACTCGGGTCCAGGTACGTGACTCGGGTCCAGGTACGTGACTCGGGTCCAGGTACGTGACTCGGGTCCAGGTACGTGACTCGGGTCCAGGTACGTGACTCTGGACCAGGTCCATTACTCGGGTCCAGGTCCGTGACTCGGGTCCAGGTCCGTGACTCGGGTCCAGGTGCTACACGAGTGCTGGTTTATTCCTGCCTACGGTTCACACTGTTCCGTCAAATTTTCGGTCATTTCATTTTCCGTCATCGGTATATAAACCTCCTGAGAGTAGTGGCCAATTCCAGAGGTGATTTTTGAAAATAAAAGGTATAAAATACCGACGCAAATGCAGTATACTGCGATCCTTTATTGACAATGTTCCGCCCACACAGTGGACTTTATCAAGTCACAAACAGATCTACCTGGGTAAACTGATTCGTCAGGAACTGTGTCCTGACACGGGTCTTAATCCTAAGATGACCCGGGTCGTCTGAGGATCTCCAGGAGATATCAATACACTTCAGTTGTTCTGTGGCTATGATCAGGGTCTTGTCGTAGTCCCTGTGCGTTCCACACCAAAACATTTTACGTTCACCATTGTGCTGGAGCCATCAGGCTCCCCCATCATTGTCTTTGGACCCTGTGTTGGGTGGTTGGGTAAATTAAAACTCGCAAATAAACGCATGGGCTCAGTTTTGTCCATCATGCATATGTTCACGAAGGTCTTGACAATAGTTCTGTATGTCTGTTTTCTGAGTCTATCAAGTTGGATATCATATCGGTGAAGAACGTGACTGACATTTCATGGCTCAGGGATAATACGCGATGTCCTGCTCTGCTCTCTTGGGTGCAAGTTTGAGCAGTAGTATCATAATCTGGCTGATCAAGGGCGCGACCTTGTAAAGAGTACATGAATATATATATAAGGTGGAGAGTCAGGTGGAGAATGTTGGGTAGGTTGGATGTGATACGGAACTACACGGGACGTCCCGTGTAGCAGAGGTCTGAGCGAAGCTCTGACCTCTGATACACGACTCTCCTCAAAGATTTGTTAAGTTATACCATGAATTAAGGAAAGATCCTGGACTTCACCTTACGAAACAGACAAAGCAAATGCGATAGTAATTATGGACAAGGTAGATTATAGTGGAAAATGAACATGTTAAGAGGCACTTACGTGCCTCTTAACATGTGTAATAAATTTACATCATATATATGTAAAACAACTCTCCTATGTGTTTCTGTGAACACATAGGTGCATAGGGGGGGTTGGATGGAAGCTAAAGTCACATATTAACTAGAGATGTTATGAAATACTTTTTCAGCCTCAGGGTGGTATAAAGGTGGAATGAGTTAGATGAGGACGTGGCAGAGGACAAGTTAATACACAGTCTCAGGGATAGGTATGACAGGTCCCAGGAGGCCTGTACGAGTAATGCCGGTGGCGGAAGTGTAAGAGGCGGGACCAGGAGCTGAGATTCGACTTCGGTGAATTCACACACACACACTCCACACTCCCCCACGCACTCTTCCACGCACTCACTCTTCCCCACACTCACTCTCCCCCACACACTCCCCCACACACTCTCCCCACACGCTCCCCCACACTCTTCCCCACACACACTCCACACACACTCCCCCACACACTCATTCTCCCCCACACACTCTCCCCACACATTCCCCCACACACACTCCACACACTCTCCCCAACACACATTCCCCCACACACACTCCCCTACACTCTCCCCCACACACACTTCACACACTCCCCCACACACATTCTCCCCCACACACTCTCCCCACACACTCTCCCCGCACTCTTCCCCACACACTCCACACACTCCCACACACTTCCCACACACTCGACACGCACTCCACACACACTCCACACACACACTCTCCCCCACACCAACATTTCCCAAGAGATGGAGTCACCGGCTGGTCGGAGACAGCGTCCAGATGCGAATTTCTCCGCCCTACTTCCAACACCACTCACCCCACTCCAGTCTGTCCCCCACTCACCCCACTCCAGTCTCTGTGTCCCACTCACCCCACTCCAGTCTGTGTCCCACTCACCCCACTCCAGTCTCTGTGTCCCACTCACCCCACTCCAGTCTCTGTGTCCCACTCACCCCACTCCAGTCTCTGTGTCCCACTCACCCCACTACAGGCTGTGTCCCACTCACCCTACTCTATTCTCTATGTCCCACGCACCCAACGCCAGTCTCTGTGTCCCACTCATCCCAATTCAGTCTCTGTATCCCACTCCATTCCAGTCTGTCCCACTCACCCCTCCAACATCTACACCTCGCTCCCACTCCAATCTCTGTTCCACTCAACCCATTCTAGATTCTGGTCCACTCCCACTCCAACGCTCCCACTCTCGTAGTTAATTAAGGGATTAATACTCTTAAACTCAGAACCTATAATGTTAACACAATAATATATATATATATATATATATATATATATATATATATATATATATATATATATATATATATATATATATATATATATATATAAACAAGTCGGCCGTCTCCCACTGAGGCAGGGTGACCCAAAAAGAAAAAATCCCCAAAAAGAAAATACTTTCATCATCATTCAACACTTTCACCACACTCACACATAATCACTGTTTTTGCAGAGGTGATCAGAATACAACAGTTTAGAAGCATATACGTATAAAGATACACAACATATCCCTCCAAACTGCCAATATCCCAAACCCCTCCTTTAAAGTGCAGGCATTGTACTTCCCATTTCCAGGACTCAAGTCCGACTATATGAAAATAACCTGTTTCCCTGAATCCCTTCACTAAATATTACCCTGCTCACACTCCAACAGCTCATCAGGTCCCAAATACCATTCGTCTCCATTCACTCCTATCTAACACGCTCATGCACGCCTGCTGGAAGTCCAAGCCCCTCGCCCACAAAACCTCCCTTACCCCTTCCTTCCAACCTTTTCGAGGACGACCCCTACCCCGCCTTCCTTCCCCTACAGATTCATACGCTCTCCATGTCATTCAACTTTGATTCATTCTCTCTAAATGACCAAACCACCTCAACAAGCCGCCTTCAGCCCTCTGACTAATACTTTTATTAACTCCACACCTTCTCCTAATTTCCACACTCCGAATTTTCTGTATAATATTTACACCACCACACACACCACACACACACACACACACACACACACACACATTATATATATATATATATATATATATATATATATATATATATATATATATATATATATATATATATATATATATATCGTGCCGTATAGGTAAAACTTGCGATTTTGTCTTAAATAGCAACGCACTTCTTGCCGAATAAGGCAAGCGAAAATTTGTGTATGCAATGATTTCGCAAAAATCTTCCTGAACCTAACGAAGAAAAATTTATTTTGTTGTTTGTTTATTATTAAATTATCGTAAACTTATCTATAATATATTTAGTTGGATTAGGCTAAATTAAACTGCGCTTCTTATAATAACGTTAGGTAAGTTTTTTAAGGTTCTTTTGGTACAAAATTATTAATTTTTACGTTAACAAAATTATTAATTTTTACGTTAACATAAATGAAAAAGTATATCTTTAAACGTATAAGAGAAAATTTTAGAAAGAAGTTAATTTGAAATGAGTTCTTGCTAACAGACCAATTTTACCTATTCGGCACGATATATATATATATATATATATATATATATATATATATATATATATATATATATATATATATATATATATATATATATATATATATATATATTGTAAATCTGGTGCGGTAGCTTGCAAATCTCTGGTCGCAGCTTTAAAACCTGTGGTGGTAGCTTGTAAATCTGTGATGGTAGCTTGTAAATTTGTGATGGTAGCTTGTAAATCTGTGATGGTAGCTTGTAAATCTGTGATGGTAGCTTGTAAATCTGTGATGGTAGCTTGTAAATCTGTAATGGTAGCTTGTAAATGTGTGATGGTAGCTTGTAAATCTGTAAGGGTAGCTTGTAAATGTGTGATGGTAGCTTGTAAATGTGATGGTAGCTTGTAAATCTGTAATGGTAGCTTGTAAATCTGTGATGGTAGCTTGTAAATCTGTGATGGTAGCTTGTAAATCTGTAATGGTAGCTTGTAAATGTGTGATGGTAGCTTGTAAATCTGTAATGGTAGCTTGTAAATGTGTGATGGTAGCTTGTAAATGTGATGGTAGCTTGTAAATCTGTAATGGTAGCTTGTAAATCTGTGATGGTAGCTTGTAAATCAGAGGTGGTAGCTTGTAAATGTGTGGTGGTAGCTTGTAAATCTGTGATGGCAGCTTGTAAATGTGTGATGGCAGCTTGTAAATCAGTGGTGGTAGCTTGTAAATGTGTGGTGGTAGCTTGTAAATGTGTGATGGCAGCTTGTAAATCAGTGGTGGTAGCTTGTAAATCTGTGATGGCAGCTTGTAAATCTGTGATGGCAGCTTGTAAATCAGTGGTGGTAGCTTGTAAATCTGTGATGGCAGCTTGTAAATCTGTGACGGCAGCTTGTAAATCAGTAGTGGTAGCTTGGAAATGTGTGGTGGTAGCTTGTAAATCTGTGATGGCAGCTTGTAAATCAGTGGTGGTAGCTTGGAAATGTGTGATAGTAGCTTGTAAACTTGTCGTGGCAACTTGTAAATCTTGCCACACCATGAGCGTGTAAGCTCTTCACTTGGTGTAATTTAACAAGAGTGACAGACTTACCATTAGATCAGTGTAACAGTGAGGGTGTAACGTGAACACTCTAGAGGCGGCTAACGCACCACACTCACACACTCAGACGTTATCGCACTCGACACTCAGATGTTAACACTCAGACGCAGTGTTGTGGTCCTGGAGAGATAGAGACGTGTATCTGAGAGACACTTTAGGAGGAGAGACGCGCGGTGTACCCCACTCTCACCACTGCCACCCACACTGTAACTCTCTGATGGTGTGTGTGCAGTAACCCCCCCCCATCCCTCCTTCACTCCAGCCTCCACTCCTCCCAACCCTCCAACATTAAGCTCCTCCCCATTATCTCCCCTCCTAGCCTCCCCCTCTACACCTCATAACCACAAATTACTCCCCTAAGATCAATTCCGTATACAAACTTCAGCTCTGTTTATTTCTTCTCGTTTTCTTTGGCATAACAGATACTGCAAAGTGAAATCTTTGAATTACAGCAGCAACAGCAGCAACAGCAGCAACAGCAACTCTTAGCCAATCATAACTCGAGCAAATGAGACCAATCGTTCCAGGCGACCAATCAGACGGCATTTCTTCCAGAGCTCTTGTTACCCTTTTCTGACTTCCTTAATCCAAGATCAATGTATGTGTGTACTCACCTAATTGTGGTTGCAGAGGTAGAGTCACAGCTCCTGGCCCTGTGTGTGTTCTGTGGTTCATCTATGTTTTCAACGTCCAGTCGTGCCCCTGAGCACCTGTTTCCCGCCTCTCAAAACAGCCTATTCCTCTCTACCCTATCAGTCTTCTGTACATTGTGTAGGTTATCAGGTCTTCCCTGGTTCTTGAATCTCTAAACACTTTCTCCAGTCTCCTAACACGGTTCCTGGGGTGTGGGTTCCATGATGGCGCTGCGTACTCTAAGCTGGGCCTGACATATATTTTATGAAGGACCAGGAATGACTCTCTGTTGATATTCTGTCTGGTGAACACTGACTCCAGAGGTTATTCAGTTGATTTGAGTCTCTGGTGATAAGTTAGGTACTATGCTCACCCCTAGATCTTTCCCTTAGAGCGAAGTCTGCAGTCTCTGTCCCTTCTGTACTCAGTTTCCGGTCTTCTTGCCGAGTATAAGTTCAGTCAACTATTTACCTCATCAATCAACCACTAACCTCAGTAATCAACCACTACCATCATCAATCAATCACTAACCTCATTAATCAACCACTAACATCATCAATCAACCACTAACCTCGTCAATCACCCACCAACAAAATTAATCACCCACTATCATCATTAATCAACTACAAACCTCATCAGCCAATCACTAACCTCATCAATCAACCATTAACCTCATCAATCAACCAATAACTTCATCAACTAATCACTAACATCATCAACTAACCACTAGCCTCATCAACTAACCACTAACCTCATCAACTAACCACTAATCTTATCAACTAACCACTAACCTCATCAACTAACCACTAACCTCATCAACTAACCACTAACCTCATCAACTAACCACTAACCTCATCAACTAACCACTAGCCTCATCAACTAACCACTACCCTCATCAACTAACCACTAACCTCATCAACTAACCACTAACCTCATCAACTAACCACTAACCTCATCAACTAACACTAACCTCATCAACTAACCACTAACCTCATCAACTAACCACTAACCTCATCAACTAACCACTACCCTCGTCAAAATAACCACTAGCCTCATCAACTAACCACTAACCTCATCAACTAACCACTAACCTCATCAACTAACCAGTACCCTCATCAACTAACCACTAGCCTCATCAGCTAACCAATAATTTCATCAACTTTACCACTAACCTCATCAACTAACCACTAACCTCATCAACTAACCAGTACCCTCATCAACTAACCACTAACCTCATCAACTAACCAATAACTTCATCAACTAACCACTAACCTCATCAACTAACCACTAACCTCATCAACTAACCAATAACTTCATCAACTAACCACTAACCTCATCAACTAACCAATAACTTCATCAACTAACCACTAACCTCATCAACTAACCACTAACCTCATCAACTAACCAATAACTTCATCAACTAACCACTAACCTCATCAACTAACCACTAACCTCATCAACCAAGCTCTTGCTTCATCAATCCTGCAGTTTGCTCAGAGTCATCAACAGTCTTTCCCTGTTCTCGTATCTTATTATTCCCTTCATTACTTTAACATCATCAATAAGCAGAAACATATGACTCAATCCCATCTGGTATGTCGCACACACCAGACACAGTACTGTTGTGTGTGTGTGTGTGTGTGGTGTGTGTGTGTGTGTGTGTGTGTGTGTGTGTGTGTGTGTGTTACTCACTCACCTATATGTGGTTGCAGGGGTTGATCCATAGCTCCTGGCCCTATGTGTTTATCACTGTCTACCAGTGACTGATATGATAGCACTGCATACTCACCTACACTGTTGATGGCTTTTTGAAAGAGCCTTTCTTTTCTCTCTCTCTCTCTCTCTCTCTCTCTCTCTCTCTCTCCCCTCTCCCCCTCTCTCTCTCTCTCTCTCTCTCTCTCTCTCTTTTTTTTTACACAGGGTTTGACAAGTAATTTAAAGGATTTCTAAATTTATTGACAAGCTAAGAGCTGTTACCTACATCAGCTCATTTGAAAGCATTTTTGTATGAGACATAAAAAGTAGGGAACAGGATAAAGTTGGAGCCATTGTGGGCCAGCATTTTCATCTGATCAACTGACTTTATTCGTTGACATCATTTATGCTGTACGAATGTGTTCCATACTCGAGTCAATCCTGGGAATAAATGATCTCAGATGAAGTGATTTCTGGACAAGGGTACAGCCAGAGTGAAGTTGCTGCTTCCTGCCCGTCTTGGGTATAGAAACTTGCTTCAAGCTGTCCTCTCTCTCTCTCTCTCTCTCTCTCCCCTCTCTCTCTCCCCTCTCTCCCAACGTTTGATCACACCTCGTCGTTGATTCACCTCATTGATTCATCATGAAATATTCAGCTCTTACTCAACACCTCCTGAAGGTGCCCCAACCTTCCTGAAGGTATTACAACCTTCCTGAAGGTTTTTACAACCTTCCTGAAGGTATTACACCTTCCTGAAGGTATTACAACCTCCTGAAGGTATTACAACCTTCCTAAAGGGTATTACAACCTTCCTGAAGGTATTACAACCTTCCTGAAGGTATTACAACCTTCCTGAAGGTATTAAAAACCTTCCTGAAGGTATTAAAACCTTCCTGAAGGTATTACAACCTTCCTGAAGGTATTACAACCTTCCTGAAGATGTACAATCATCCTGTAGGTGTTATAACCTTAATTAAGGTGTTCCAACCTTAATTAAGGTGTTCCAACCTTCCTGAAGGTGTTCCAATTTTTCCTGAAGTTTGTTCCAACCTTACTGAAGGTGTTTACAACCCTCAGGTATTGGAAATTGTTTTAGTGATGCAAATCATTCAGTGTTTACTAGTGCTGTAAATCACATTTACTGTGTTCACTAGCGTTGTAATTATTCTAGCTGTGTTCTAGTGTTGTCAGAAATTCTAGGTGTGTTCTAGTGCTGGAGTCAAAAACTAACAGTATCTACGCACAGCGTTAGTAGTAACTAGCAGGAAGGATAATGCACCAACACACAGCTATTTGATTAATAAGCTGTTACCCCACATGCTGTCAAGACTGTGCCTGGCTTTCTCTTTCACACACACAACACACACACACACACACACACACACACACACCACACACAACACATTCGAATCGACCCTGCAACCACAACTAGGGGAGTACGCACCACACACACACACACACACACAAACACACACACACACACACACACACACACATCGAAAAAGGCGAGGCCAGGAGCTACGAATCGACCTTTGTAACCACAAATAGGTGAATACAAACAGGTGAGTACACTAACTTTGTATAATAATTCTTTAACCCATCTCCCATCGAGGTAAGGGACCCAAAGAGAGAAACACATCCACCATCATTCAAAAAACAGCTGTCTGCCAAATGTCTTCAGACGTCACAGTTCAGCTGACCCTGGCACCTCCAGGCCCTCGCCCTCCTTCAGGGTGCAGGCACTGCCCTTACCACCTCCAGGACTCAAGTTCAGCTCACCCGGTTTCCCTAATTCCCTTGCTCACACTCCAACAGCAATTAGGTTATAAAAACCACTTGACTCCGCTCCGCTCTCAGACGTTCACACAAGGCTGCTGAATGTCCAAGCCCCTAGCACTCAAAACCTTTACCTCTCCCCTCCCTCTAACAGACCCCTTCCCCTCATTCCCCCCCCCCCTGATCTATATATCCCCCAAATCCTCCTAGTTTGCTTCATCCTCCTTAAGTGTCCAACCCACCATCACTATTATCTGGTACATTCTTCCTTTTAGCTCGGGAGATATATTTCCCCGTCTCCACAGATGCCTTTAACATACCACCCACCTTCTCCAGGTCTTAATATCCTGTGGTTCACCTTGTCTGTCACAGACCCGTCCGCCACATGTTCACTTCCAAAAATCTGAAAAACATCCACTTTCCTTAAACTCCATCCAATCTAATAGTCAATCTTTCATTGTCTAAAATTTTTTTTTTTTACTTTCATCGCCTTGCTCTCTCCCGTGTTCACTTTTAACTTCCTTCTGTTACACACCCTCCCGAGTCGTCCCAAACGTGTGCAACTTCTCTTTGGAATCTCCCAAAAGCACATTGTCGACGACACACAGCAAAAGCAACAACTTCACTGTGTATCTAATTCGCTATTTCTCAGTCCCACGCACCTCCCCAATACCCCTGCATTAACTTCTAACCACCCCATATATAAATGTGTTTTTAAAAACCATGGGGACATCAACGCATCCCTGTCTAAGGTCTTCTTTGACTAGAAAATAATCTGCCTTTCTCCTACACACACTAACCTGAGCCTCACTATCCTCAGAAAAACTCTTCACTGCTTTTAGCAACTTACAGTCTCTTCCACACACTTGTGTACTCACCTAATTGTGGTTGCAGGAGTCGAATCAAAGCTCCTGGCCCCACCTCTTCGCTGGTAGCTACTAGGTCCATTCTCTCTCTTCTCCATGAGCTTTGTCGTACCTCTTCTTGTGTGTGTGGGGGTGTACTCACCTAATTGTACTCGCCTAATTGCAGTTGCAGGGGTCGAGACTCAGCTCCTGGCCCCGCCTCTTCACTGACCGCTACTAGGTCCTCTCTCTCCCTGCTCCA